TGGGGTGCTGAGGCACAGCACCCATCTGTAGGCTTCTGAATATAATAAGTTAAAACCCATAGATCCAATTAGCAGATATTGGATCTTTAGGGTCTCATATCTAAGAGGAGGTTGAAGGAGTCTAAACTAGTTAGTTATTAATTAGATTCATGGAGATTCAAGACAGTAAAGCTATCTTGAGTGCAATGGCACCACTCTGATGTGTATCTTTTATAGCATCCTTCTACGTTCTTTCCAATACAAGTTTTGTCTTGAATCTTGTGAGGTAACAGGAGCAGAATGTGAAATAGAGGAGGTTATTAACTACAAAAAAGAGATTTGAAAGTGAGAGAAAAGGTGATAGCTCTTTAGGGACTTTTAGAGACTCTAAAACACGCTGGCAATATGCAGTTTCCATGAAAAGATTTACATCATGCTTTGAAACCTATATACAATGGCTAAATTCATTATAAAGAAGCTTTACTATTTTTTGGAATATTACAGAAGTAGAAGCTATCAGTGTTTTTAATGGCAGGGTGAAAGGGCAATCCACACAGCTACTGGAAGTTCAATATTGCACTCCCAAGGAAGTGTGACCTTTTGAGAGACACAGGTTTTGTATGAGAATGCAGAGGGAGGAATTCTTTGAAGAATTTTTGTCTGATTTTAAAATAATGAATCAGTCAAGTAGTTATGACATTTTGAGAGATTCCATTTTAAGGGATCAGATGCTGATTGGAATCCAAGATACAAAGCTACTTAAAAAAAAAAAAGGAAAAATCTGTTTAGTCAAGCTAGGACAGTTGTAAGGGATAGTAGAAAACATCAGAGGGGAAGAGGACATGCCGCATGTCACGAAACGAAGTAACACAGTTTTGAAGAGACCCTTCAGAGATATCAGTAAGAAGTAACAAAAGTGAAAAATACAAAAATTTATGAAAATTCACAGGTTCAGATTATGTCCAGGAATTTGGAAATACTGCAGCAGCTATAACAAATAACATTGTAATACCTTGCAACTGGGTAAGCAAAAACAACACAGAGTACCTCATACACTCCCAGATCTGTATGAGGTTGCACAAACCAACCATGCAACAAAGCAGAGATTCTGCGCACAAGCTGCAGAAGGGATCTGCAGGCTGAGAGAAAACACCTCGAAATTCAAAACTGGTGCTCAATGTTACCTTCAAAATTTGGCTTATGAATCTCCACTTACAAAGACAGACTACTGAAACTGAGGGTGTCTACCAAGAATCTAATTCCTACTAAAGGATTATATGAAATTATTTGGAAAATGAAGATAAACACAGTAGTTTAAGTTTATGCTCAGAAAGAGATAGTATTACATCTAAATTATATCTTGCTCTGGGCTTGATTAAAGAAGTGAAGCTGATGAAGGAACTGTAAGAGATCGTGCCCAGAAATCTTTAATGTCTGAAATAAAGTAGACACAGAATATAAAACTTTATTTTCACAACAATTTGTGCTTTTAGGAACATTCTTCTGTTTATGAGAGAGAAGCTCATAAAACAGCTGGATCACATAGGAATAATATTGTGAAGTTTAGAAATGGAGGAGCCAATTAACAACAGGAATGTCAAAAGGCAGGCTGCTGATATTGTCCTTATATAAATGGGGCTAAGTGTATCTTTCAGGACAGATACTGTCCTATATTTACTGTCCTATAAAGGATATTTTCAGGAAAATGCACACATATAAAATGTATATTTTTATGAATACAAATAAACATTTCATGTAAATTCAAATTCTTCTGCTGGATCCAAGTAATTTCCTTGGATGACAAGGGTTTAACACTACGCATCTTTAAATTACTGTACAGGAGGTTCTACTTGAGAAGACTTCCTTCAGGCTTAAATCCTTTTCTTGTCTTCAAAGGAAAGTGTTAGAAAAGCTATTTACTTGAAGCAGCTGCGGATGCTTAAATAGATACTGAAGATGTTGAGTAGGGAGAAAAACTGTGGGGAATCTGAAAAAGTAGGATTAGACAAATACAAATGTAAGGACAGTGAGATAGCAAAAAAAGATTAACTGCAAAAATGATAGAAGGGATTTGTTACAAATATGTCATACACAAAGATAATGAGGGTGTCCAGAAGCCTCTTAGCACCGTGAATGTTCCATAAAAGTTCATATCGCACTGAAAATCTCTGCAAGTAGCTTTTGAGTTACCACACAAAATACTGGGCTGTAAAATTGGGAAAAGTATTCCTGACTCATGGAATACCTTGGGTTGGAAGGGACCTCTAGTTCCAACACTCCAAATGTATGGCATTTATAAAGACAACTACTTGCCTTACATGTATTCATGCTAAAAGGTAGAAAAAATCTTCAAAAAATGGCTTATGGATAGTATTATTCAAAAAAATATTTAGTGGAAATGCATGCCATATGCTTCTAGGGCACTTGTGAACACCATAATTCTAGGTAAAGTCTAAGAGAGCAGAGCTCTGGCTCTGCAATGTGATTGTAAGAAATGCCACATATCTGTTTATTGGTCTGTTATGGTCAGAGCTGACACAAATCACTTTGTAACCATGAGAAAAATAAATAAATAAAAAGGACCAGCTTGCAGAATATGAAATTTGTGTGACTTTACACTGTTCTTTAACCAAAACCATTCAATTTTACAATAAAGTTTAAGTTGGAGAAATAATTACTAATCAAAAACATACTTCCTAGAGCATTCAATGAGCCTACTCTTGACAGCAACACAGAGAATGATGACATAATACCTGGAAATATGGTTGGAAAAAAAAAAAAAAAAAAAGAGAATAGCCCCATTTCAGAAGAAGGTGGGGTGGGTTTGGAGAAGCTGTACAGAAGATGACAGTGCAGAAAGTCATGAAGGTTACAACCTGCTGGGCAGCAAGGGCCATTGCACACCAAGCCCATCTGACAAACTCAGATCAAAATTTTCTGCATTCAGTGGTGTACACTTTAGAGGTAACAGCATGGTGTTGTCAATGTATTATGACCTGATATGCTCATAGAGTACAGGAGGCTCATGAGACCTTTGAAAAATGTGAAAGAAAACACCATGTGTCAGTACATCTGAACCTGTTGTAAGTAATTGACTTGGGCATTAACTGCATTTGGATTGAATTTAACACCAGAACATTTTATGGCATATACTAATGCTGAATTTGTTTGCATATGAAGTCCCAAAAATTCTGTCTAACAGTGATGCACAGTTCAGCATCTTGGACCTGGAAAGATTTGTAGAGAATGAAGGATTTTAACATGTTACTTCCAATTCAAATATCCTAAATTTAATGGTGAGACTTTTAAAAGACATTTAAAGGAAGCTGTGAAGTTGAGAAGTGATCCATACTTTCACCAAATTTGGGGAATGTTTTTTAAAAATAGTTTATTCCCATTGAAACTTTGTTAGGCAGAGATTCCCAGTACACCTAATTTAGTCCATATAATATTGGAAGGTACAATGGGTCTGAAGCATATAATAAATTGGTAACAACCCACCAAAGTCATATTATAATTCAGATTTTTTAAGGTAGATGATGCTGTTTGCATACACAGTGGTGTTACCTGTACCCCAAGGGCTGTGGGGAAATTATTCTTTGTTCATAAGAAGTGCAAACTTCAAAAGGATGGATTCTTAGGAAAAACAATTAGCAAGGAAAATGTATTGTTCTTGTAAAGTCTGTACTGAACTTACAGCTTCTTGAAAACAAATGGAAAATCAAGGATTCTGCAATGCTGTGAGGAAAGACAGTACCAGTAACTGGAGGTGAGATCAGATGCTGCTGAGCAGATCCATGAGAGCACTGAAAAGACTTACTGAGTGCTGCTCCCTGTTAGCCTTATTCATACAAAGGAGAAGATGTAAGGATCGGGTGCTGCTTGATTGGTGGTGGCTTAACAAGAAGCAGAGTGAACTGGTCTGAGTTGTTAGATCCACAGCCCAGCTTGTTGAGGGACTGAGGCAATCATGCTGGATCATGTGGGTTACATGGCTGAACAGTGTTATCGCTGTAATATGTCTTTTATAGTACAAATCCCGATTCTCTGAAGAACCCAGCCTCTGTGCTCTGTACCCTAGGGCTGTCAGAAAGAGCAATCCCAAAGCAAATGGAGAGCAGCTGTAGTTATTAACCCAGATTAAAACCTGTTGGTTTTGCCATCTGGGTATCCCCTTGTAAGTGCTGAATATATGTAGCTAATTTATGTATACTTGGTAATCCACTTCAAGGCACAGTTCACAACTAGTTTGACCTTTCATTAATCTGAAGAGATTTTGCTGGTTGAAAACATGCAGAAAGGAAAGACATTTATACCTGCCTTATCCTCCTGAGCCCAAATGTGGAGAAGTTTTTGTTGAATGAGGAGGAGAGGGATATTTGGGGTTTCCAAACTTTGATCAAAAGGTCCCCAATGTCGGTGAAATATGAGAGACGAAATAAAGTGGAAGGCACAGTCAGGATTTTGAGGCCTGAATTTGATCATGTGTCAATAGCCAATTGATAATCAATATCTCGGAAAAAAATTTGAATGCTGATCTGAAGTCCACATGAGTCAGCAGAAGCTCTGCATTTCTTCCCTTGGGCATGGGTCAGGCCCTGTGCTATTCCCAGTTTTGCTCAGGTTTAACTTTTTGTAAAACAGTTCTTCTGACTATTATCAAAGTTCCAGGAGCTTCAAACTGCATGAAGTATGCTGCCAAGCCCTCATCATTTTACCAGCTGACACCAAACATTTTGTAACTCTGATCAAACAGGCTTTAAAAGAGAGGACTCTATTTTCTATCTATAGTTCTGAATGGGGAGAGTAACCACTTAATCACCCAAGTAACATTTGTTTACAGTGGGAGATTTTGGCTATGCAATTCCACATGCAAATAAAAAGGGGGGAGGGGGAATGAGGCTTATTTGTGAACAATTTAGCAGTCTTTGAATAAATCATATGAATTTACCACACACAAATAAGCTCAAAATCTTTCTCTGCCCTTCCACACCTATTTTGTGTATTTGTTTGTATCTTTTTCATGTGATGTAACAAATGAGCTAAAATAAACATCTCTTCTCTTTCTGGGATAAATTTAGGGATTAATTCCAAGATTTCAAGGCCTTTCATAAAATGGATAAAAATAGAGATGGCTGTGTAACAGCATTTGACCTGCACAGGATACTAGAAGAATTCAACTGTTACCTTGATCACGATCAGTTACGCAGTCTTCTAAACAGGTTTGTGTGATTATCTTCCAGTGATCTCTTTGGTCACACCCAGCAAAACCTATAATCTTGTATCTAATGTTAAGCATATTGGAAGCCTTGTTAAAACTAACAAAGATAGCTACATGCTTAAAAATGCATATGAGTGAGAAATATTTTTAGGCCAGCAATTGGTTGTACAGGTAATGAGAGTGAAAAGTCTGCTTACATAACGACGGTTTGCTTTGAATCTGTGCATTTGTTTGCTAATTTTATTTATTTATTTCAGAGTAATACAGCAAAGGGGTGAAAGAGACCCTGTTCCAAACAAAAGCAGAATTAAATCAGGTTATAAAATAGCAATAGCTTTCAAGTAATCCAATGCTGCTGCTATGCAAAACTATGCTTTTAATTCAGTGTGTTAATATGAGCAAGAGGAAAATTCTCTTTGTAGAGGCTGAGGAACACAAAGGACCTGCTCCAGCTTCAGGTAGGTGGAGTTTTCTGCCCTAAACAGCCTCTCAGAGGTCATATGCCTGGCAGCACTGGGTTTTGTTCTCCAGAGCCTGCCAGATCAGACTCTTTTTGAAATAAAATTAACACAGACTTTTCACAGTTCACCTTTAATTGGGTGATAAACTTTTTACGAATTGAAGCCTTAATAGGAATCTGCTGCTTGTTTCTTTCTCAAAGACCTCTTGATGATAAACACCTCCATTCATTGTAATTTTGTGCAGATTATTCATTTCTTGATTCAAAAATAGTCTTTTCTAAATAATACTGAGTAGATTAGCATATGCATTTAGTTTTATTACTAAAATTTTAATGCCCACTTGGCAATTTATTTCTCCGCTGAAATGGTGTTGATTATTTCCTTTTCCACACACTGTCTCCAATATTGGAACCAGCTTGACATGGGTGCTATGTGGGAGTGCTGTGCAGCTGCAAGATGCAAAATCAGGGCTCTTGATTTTTTTTTTCTTAGTAGCAGATATGGGGTCTATAGTTAATTTATTTTCCAGCCTGTTTCATAAAGCTTCCTCTTTGTTTTACTAGCTCTCACCATTAATTAGACATTCTAGTAACTGGATATTCTGGTGAGTGGTAGCTGAGGCATTGGTCTCCAGTGATTTACTGTGGAAAGAGATGATGAAAATACATTACAGTAATTCATTTTTACACAGGAAAATCGGGTTGCATGGTGAGGCCATCTTCTATGTGAAGGCTTGGCTCACTAGGTGTTGCCTTGACCATAATTCTGACCAAAAAAAAAAAAAAAAGCTTAATGAAAGACTAAAAAATCCCAGCCTTTCACCTGCAGCTTAGTAGCTGCTTGCTTATTACATGTGTGCAAATTATCTACAGTTATGATGATTGTCTATAAAATTATTAAAATTTATTAAAATCCTCTCCATGGCTGGTAACTCTAAAGGTCAATCTGTAACAATTCCATGGGAGCCAATAAACCTGTATCAAAAATCCCCAAAGCATACTGTACTCTGGAGACTCTGTTTGTCTTTGCATGGTAGGAAATTCCATTAACTGACTACACTGGATTTACACTGGTAAGCGTAGAGCAAGCTGATGCTATTGTACTCCCTTGTGGTAAATAATTCTACAGGTTCATTAGGCAGGTTTGAAGTCCTTGCTTAAAATACACTGTGTCTTTTCATTAGGAAGTCACAAGTCATATGACAGTGGAGAAAAGTAGCTTTTCATGTTATGGTTAATGCAATTCATTTCATCTTAATTTTTCATGCTAAATAACCCTTACTCTCACATATTTTCTGCATATGTGAAACTTGCCTTAATTCCAGTCTTTTTATGGTAAACTATCCATCTTTGAATAAAAGTTAATTTAGACTGGTAACTCAAGTTCTCTGGAAAAAAAAAAAAAAAATCATATGCGAGAGCTCATCTTTCCCCATGCTGATATGTGATGCAAAAATACATTCAGTGTTGTTACCCAGAGCTATCTGTAGTCAGCTATGTAACCCACTGAGTTTCTAATGTGACAGAACATGAAAATTCCCAGTGTCCCCGATCCAGCAGACATTTTAGCAGACATAAATCCAGCAAGTTGTGCGTGCAGCCTGCAGAGCCCTTGGGCAGGCCTCTCAGGTACAGAGGTATAGTCTGACCATGAGTGATCTGATCAGGATCCCTTACTGGCCATGGGGCTTGCAAGTCAGCAGCAGCAGCTGTTGGGCCACACGTACCATCTCTCTGTGCAGCTCAGGGGATGATGTATCAAAGGAAGGGAGGGCCAGTGCATGAAATGCAGTGGGGCTGAGTCCTGCCCTCAGTTAGGCATTTCATTGCCCACACTTCATGTTAAAACCTTTGTGCTGTGGCCACTGATACCAGGGCCAAGAAGCTGTAGAAAAGTTCTCTAGTGGCCTGACAAACCACAAAAAGTGAAGCATAGGTTGAGAGTGAAGTTAAGCCTTTCCATCTCAAACTTTAGGAGAAGTTTTGTGTGGAACCAGATTTTGTTTCCTATTATGTGGCAGACAAATCCTGAGCATGTATTCAGCTGTGGTGGTACACCTACGTAGTGTGTCACAGAGCTGTACTGTATATGTGAGCTTGTGTTTGGTACCAGCATACCAGACTGTGTGTAGTACTGCTTCTTTCTTTAGCAGCGGTGATAACCGTGACATACTGATGACATACTTAAGCAGCTCATCAGGATCTGTGAGTCAAAGGTATTTTTGTAAAGCAAAGTCAAGGGAAAGTAACAGCACTTAGCACAGCGAACATCAGCTTCTCAATAGAGTCTGTTAGATTGTGATGTGAAGAGGAGGTTAAAGGACAAGGTTGAGAGCCTATGTGTCCTCTGGCCACATTGGTGTTGATAAGCTCAGCAGCAGGTTGTGATCAAAATATTCTGCTGTGCTTAAAAAGCACCAGATTAATGCTGATGGACTGGAAGGTTGTACACATGAGCCCAGGCTAAAGCAGTTCTCCTGTTGAGCATCTGGAGACTGGTCTGAATCTGCATCTGAGAGTGTGGTTGCATTTAATTGATGGGATTGGTGGCTTAGACCTGAGAAAGCTTGGGCTGAAGTTAACAGGATTTGTACACTGACAGCACAAACGTATCTTGAAGTGCTGCTGCTGTACAGATAATAAATCATAGTAATTAATCACTGCAGACAACAGTAAGATAATTATTTAAAATCATGGATATCTTGTTCTGTGTTTTTTTTCCCTTAGCTTAGGAATCAGCATTCATGACAGCAAGCTCTCTTATTTTGATTTCCTGAGAGCACTTGATGATGGCAGAGCATTTAAATACCAACAGAGACAACAGCAGGCTGCACCACCTGCAAGATTTGCAGCGCTCAGCTTAGAACAGACCTTAATTAAGATAAAAGAAATAGTTGCAACATCTTATGATTTGTTGTACAAGGTAAGTTTCATGTGGTCATGGAATATTTTTTTAATTCCCTTTCTTCTGCCTGGCAGGAGACGAGCCCAAAGACTTCAAAACTTTTCTACTATTAATTGAGTGTTACAAAAAACCTTGGCCTATGTATGAATAGTATGTTCTGACAACTGCAGACTTTTTGATTGTATTCTGGTAACTTCACAGAACAAGCATATCAAATCAAGCCTAGAGGTTTTGTGAAGATAAGGATCAGAAAAGAAAAATAAAACAGAAAATCATCTGAACTCTACTCTCTTCCCCAAAGCCCTTTTCCTTCACCAGTTGTCTGCAAACTGCATGGCAGGCATGTGAATAATTACATCTTTTGAATATCTCCATTGAGTTTCCTAAATGGAGACTTCCTATAGGTAGATATAATGTGCTAGTGCAGACATTATGGTTTTATCAGTGTGAGATGAAAAGAACATGTAGCAACTAGGGATACAGACATGATTGGATGTGGACACATTATAGTGGCTGCAGAAGTTAGCACCTGTCAGCTGGGCTTCTGCAACTATCTGCAGTTATACTCTTGGCCACTCCTGTCTCTGACACAGACAGATAAGGCACATTAGCTGACAAGCAGCAAGTTTCCTGGTTTTTCCTTCTGTAAAATGAGGATTACAAAAATAACCCCTTTTCTCTAGAATTTTGAAAGCTCTTTATGAAAAAAAAAAAAGCCGTATATTAAGTAGTCTTAGGCTGTTGTGTCAGAGCATACTGAAATGCAGCAGCCTGTAGAGTAAATAATTTTTAATGTCACAGTAACATTGTTTTCAAGCATGCGAAAGAATAATCAAAAAGACCTTGAAGGAAACATTCCTATCACAAAGGAATGTAGAGCCATGTAATCTGCACCTGCAGTTTCAGGTCCAGTGTAAGCTCATGGCCTTAGAGGCAGGCCTGCAAAGATGGAGAGTTGCTGTCAGCACAAGGGAAGTAAAGGGAACAGTGGCTGGAAACATGATGGGGGTAGAAATTCCCTTTTATCAACGGCTGCATTTCTGAATTCTCAATCTTTGGGCTTTGTCCTGCAGTTAAAAATAACACAGGCTTGCAATAAAGACATCACTAATGATGTCGCTGGTATAACTGAAAAAGAACAAAATACTGTGGGAGATGCTGTTTCTTTACAGAAATCTTTTTCCATGCTGCTTGGAGACTCTGGTGATGTTTGTAAACTTACTGGGGCCATCACGACATTTTTGGCCAGATAGACTAACTCTTAAATAGCATACTGAACTATTCATATAATCACTTTGCATTTTTCACAGTAAGGGAAAAATCCCTTACTGTGCTCTGCATCATTAAAATTGGATGTAGATAAATACAATAGTCCAGGTTAGTGTCTGGTAAATTTTAATGGGGCACTCCTGGCATCCTAAAAGTCAGTATCTGTCCTCTCATCCCTAGGTGCCTTGGACATGAGGAAGGTCACAGTTTTGTCTACATCAAAATGACTTCTGACATGAACAAATTATCCATTTGATCTTTTAGGATACCATTTGGTTGTCAATATAACTTCAGACATTTTCTGCATGGACAGCCAGACTTTTTGTGGAAAAGCAGAACTTTTTCTCATTTTCTTCATACGAGAAAATAAGAAAATTCTCCCCTTGTTTCTGAGTCATTTTTTGTGTAATAGTTGCTGCCTCCCATGTGACTGGGGAGTCTAACAACATGAGTTTATAACAGTGTTTGCTTTGTTAGAGGCAGATCTGAAAGCACAGTTCTTAAAGTCTAGCTAGTTGGAAAAAATAACATCCCATCTACGACACTTCTACAAATGAATACAAACCTTTGAAGTTTTATAACAAATAGTTTAAGATTTGTTAGTGTTCAAAGGATTCCTTTCCAATGTCCTTTGAATATGGTAATGTTTATTTTATCACTAGACAAGGTTCGTGTACATTAAAATATACATTTTTAAACCTGTTATTTAGAACAGTTCTAAAGCTAAAACAAAAACCGCTGAAACTGTAGGTTGTTTTTTATTTGCATATTCATATGTAGCACAGAAATAGAGGCCAGTTTTGATTTATTTCAACAATTGCCTTTCATTTTTGAAAGAACAGAAAACTTCAAACTAAGAAAGGTTCTGGAAATATTTTTTGTTTCTCTATGTATAACAAAAAAATCTGTAAGTAAAAAGCATGCAGGCCTCATTTCCATAGGAACTGCTAAAAAAGACTTCTCTTTTGTGGTCTGTCTAGGTTGTAATTTGAAATCGTGCTTCTCAGGCATTTTCTCTGTGTGATGAAAAAGGCACTGGAGTAATTAAAGAACTAGAACTTCGGCAAGTACTTGACCACTTCTGCTTTAAATTATGAGACAAGCAGTTCAGGTACCTTCTCGAGAACCTTAACCTTTGCAAGGAGTTGACAGTATACTGGAAAGCTTTTCTGAAAATCATAAACCTCCTCTCAGAAGTAAGAATAGTTACTGAGCTCTATTTTTCTTTAGTTGATAAAATCTAATGTGCTAGAAACATCTAAATTTCACACATTTTTCTTTTGATCTCTGTCAAGCTCCACAAAGCCCTTATTGTCTTATAAACTGCTCTCAGAAGTTAAGTCTGGCATTCATGCAAATGTAAGTCTCTACATGTGGCAAGCTGAAATCATGACCATGGATGCTACCCAACTGGATGACATAAGATGTGGGATGCCCAAATATGCCTGATGAATTCTGATGTGTCTAGATGGACTGACAGGAGGCGGGCAGAAAAGTGAGTGGAGTGTGGAGTTCACCACGTTCTTAGCACCAAACAATAGCAGGAGTGTAGATGTACTAGTAAGGTCAAACATGGAGGTTAGTCAAGTACAGAGAAAATCTTGACTGTGTCAATAGAGGGTCTTCTGATGCTCTGAACATATTTGTTGCAACAATTGAAATTAGAGTTGCAGTTTCTCTGTGGCAGATGTTTTTGTCTGCAGTGTCTCACCAGATTAGTTCACTTGAGGCAGTCTTCAGGAACAGATCCCACAGCTCATACTCACAGCATTCTTTTGTCAGGCAGAAATTCTTACTGCGCTTGAAAACAACAGGAACATATCAAAAGGTGTAAGTAAAAGAAGTCTTTGTCCTATTTTAATTTCACAGTCTTTCTCTTTTCTCTAGTTTCTCCTATCTTAGTCTATCTTGACCAGTGGGATTAGGGTGTAAATAGAAGTGAGCATATAGGAGTCCAAATGATGTTACCTTACTGTTCATTTCTGAATTTGGCTAAGGATGTGAAAGCCTGTTACTAACTATATACATAGGAGTTCTAAAAAAAACACTGCATTAACTTGCGTTTTCTGTTCTAAGAAGTAACTATGTTTCATTTTCAAAAATATATGCTCGAAGCACAAATAAAATGAGAAAAATAATAATCATCACCCAGTGGAAAAACATATAAAAAGCCTACCACTTTATTGCTATGGTGATAATAGAATGTTGTGCTAAACAAATCTGTGTAGAGCTATATGGTGATTAAATTCTGTGTCATAATGCAGAAGCTGGAAAACCAGTGAGATTTTTGTTTCAGCCTCTTCGCGTCCTGAGTCAGAAAGTCTGTCACGGCTTGAGTGACTGAAAAGAGCAGAAGGAGGGACTACACTTTTTGGATGAAGGAGGACCCATAAACAGCTCCAAAAGTTTGTAACGTGTTATAGGTTTTTTTAGTGTTTTAGTGACTTTAACAATAATTGTCAGTTACAAATAGACGTAGATTTACCACAATACTTATTATAAGTGCATCTTTATTCAACATTTTATATGGCTGCTTGAGTGCTTTTATTCTCTGTAAATTTAGCATTAATAGTAGTGTAACTGTTACTTTGTCCTTAGTGGCAATATTACATTTAGTTACAGTTATTTTAAAATAGTTGGTGATTTTAAAATATTTATATTTTCAGCTTATTAAAATTAAAATTCAGTCTTAATAGATGTAATAGATTACATGGTTCTCAAGTGTAAAACATTGGAATACTTTTTATAGGTCAGAAAACGCTGCATTTCCCCTTTATTCTGCTAGTATGCTGATACAATTTCAGTAAGTTTCAACTGAATCATACCAGCCCAAAGACAAATTGTGTGAAATACATCTGTATAATTATTTTAAGAATGTTTTTGACTGCTGACCTACCAGCAAGCTTTAAGACTTTAGAACAGGTGTCTGCTTTTGCTAGGGAAGGTTTAGCTGCGATGTCTTCTCATCCTCCAAGGAGGCGCTAAGCTTCCATAACAACTTGACAAGCTGCACACTCCTGGGTTCAAGCTCTGCAAGTGTACATTTAACATGAAATATCTTTAGCAGTACTCCAAGATCCTGAGTACTTTCCACCTCAACTTAACAAAAAATAAGCTACCTCCCCATCTTTCAGGAGGTACTTGGTCCATGACAGGGTTGGAGCCTGTACTGCTTTTTTCTATATTGAGCATTCTCCTTGAACTGTTTTCTGTGTTGTGTTGGGGTAGAAGGGATAAATCCATCATTAAAAGCCCAAGTTAATCTACAAGGGGACATTTCTGAAAAGACAAAACAAATATGAACCAGGGTCACAGTACTGGTTCAGCTTCCAGATGCTCTCAAATGTCATGTTTTCCTTTTGGGTTCAACCCAAAATCTCACATGCCTTTGCAATTTCATCCCACCTTGGGTTCACATGTATTCCTGGGGTTCTGTGCAGGTTCTGGGAGAAGGCTGGTAGTTAAATTATTCACTTCATCCAAACATGCTACAGTTTTGGCCTGTAAAGTATGTATGTAAATTAATAAGGTATGCAACTCATTCAGGAACGTTAGGAAAACTGATCATTATGCTATACAATTTGATCACTGAAGTATATTAAAAAGTAATGAGTAAAGTATGCAGCTTGATCATTGAAGTATGGAAAATTTACTGAACTAGTAAAGTACGAGCCTGGGATGATTTTTGTCTCACATAGCACCTCATAAATATAACCCACAACCACAAAAGCAAATATTCACAAACTCCAAAGCCATACAGGTTCAGATTTTATTTATTTATTTTTTCTTAAGAAATAGCTGAATAAGGGAAGTTGAAAAAATGATTTCTAAATGTTGTATTCATCACATGGATCTTTTGATGTCTTTGACATATGCTAATGAGCTTTACATTCTGATTAACTCTTTAGAATACACACTATGGCATCTGTACATCTGATCTAATTTATATGAGCAGGATTCCAACTGAATTACAGCTCCGTAGAGGTGTAGAGATACACTACATGAAAATAGAACTAAAGAAACATAAAATACTTCAAGCAGTGTGATTGCAGCTTAATATTCAGGTAAGGAAGAACTGCGGTTATGACACTTAGCTCTGATACTGGTAACTAACTGCAGAAGAGCTGAGAAAGGAGGAAGGAGACAGAGAGGACTTTGTCTTGGGGATGCTGTTAAGCACCAGTGGGTTCTCTGAGGACATTTGTAAAAGTCCAGACTCTGGAGTTGGGAATAAGCATCATGAACTTTTCTTGGCTGACCTGCCAGACTTATGATTAATAAGGTCTGAGTGGAGCTCTTCTGCATTAAAATAAGTGGCTAATGCAGTCTGGCCTAATGAAACCTACTCAGGGGGAATCAGACACCTCCTACCCCAAAAGAAAGTGTACTCACCATCCTTCTCCACTGTGAGCAATTTCAGTAGTGTAAAGGGAAAAAAGGAAAGAATGTATTAAAAGCAATAGTAGAGGGAGTGCTGGTCAGATCTAGGACAAGGTTTTACACAGAATCAGCACACCTACACTGTAGTGGGTAACACAAGAGGAAAGGAAGGATTGCGATCAATTGTTTTGTGTTGTTTAGCCTTCCTGCTGTGGAGGCTGCTGAGTGATTTGCAGTGAGCTTAATAAACCTTTAGCTGTCGAGACCAGCAGTGAGAAGGAGGAGAGCAGGTCAGGTTGAAGAGATGAGGGAGAGAAGGGATAGACCATTGTTTGTGCCCATTCAAGGGCAGGAATTGAGCTAATGAGGGATTTGCTGGCATGTGTGTCTTTCAGCTGACAAAGGGAGTAAGTAGAACCATATTTGGCAAAACTGCCATTTTTATTTTTTTTTTAGAGGTGATGTAATGTAAAATGATGAAATTTGGAAACTGGGCTGATTTCCAGAACTTCTTTGCAGGAAAAATCATGAAACATTTCAAAATCCAAGTAGGCATTTGATTTAGCTTTGTCCTGAACTTCCTGTTTGCACACCAAGTTCTCTATTTCTGTTTGTGTTTAGCTTCCTGTTGAGTTTCTCTGCAGTTGGTCTCATGCTGCAAAGTGCTTTCTTTTCTAGCTGAGTACATTTTGTTTCCAGCTAGGTACATATCTACCTGCCTGCAAAACTACAGGCTCACTTATTCATGCTTGTTGCTCTTCCTGCCAGAGAGGATCTTGTTTCTCTTTGGACCAGTACCCGTGAGAGGATTATACCTAGGAGGGTATAGCAAATGTGCATCTCTTCTTGAAGCCTGGCACTGTGATAAGTGTGCCTCCAGGTCCCAGGACTAGTATCCACTATTTACTAATGAAAAGCATTGGGTCTGTTGTTGCTGTCTCCATCTGTGTTGGACATGTTGCTGCTGGAGAGTCTACAAAGCTAAGCCACTTGGTCTCACATCACATTGCTCTCAGCAGTAGCAGCGCTGCAACCCCTACCTGGAAAATGCAAATGAAGCAGCTTCCTCATGCTCTTGGAAACTATTCCTAAACCAACAGAGGGGACAGCACTGATGCAGCTTACCAGCTCCACAAACAGAGGGTGACTGTGCTGTGACTCTCCAAAACTCTGATTTGCACTGAGTGCAACTCTACACTGTATCTGTTGTAACTATATAGTTCTGGAGCTCAAAAACAAACAAACTAACCAAAAAAGACCGTGCAACAGAGGAGTGGCATCCTCTCCTCAATTTTTCCATACTCGTGCTTCACAAATTTATCAGTGTTATTAAGCCAACCCTTGTGCACTGTGTTCAGGCATGGGAAGATGAATTTCAGTTGCACCTATGATCTTCCTGTGCAATTGCACCAAGAATATATGAAGACCTGCTGTACAGATGTGGTGCTTTTCCCTGTTCTGTGGGTGGGAGTTTTATAGGTTTGTTCATTAGTCTTCATCTACTGAACCTCTGGCCCTCTTGCTCTGGGCCAGTTACTGGGGCAGACAGATGACTCAGCAGTCGTGACCTTCTGCACCAGACTGATCAGGCCCGCTGATCACATGCCTACCCTTAGTCAGCAGCTCCACAAACTCTGTCCTCGCGTAGAACAGCCATTCTCCAGAGAAATACCCCTTCTAGGATATGTGCATGTTAGTATTACATCTGCTTCAGGCTGACAAATATGTTATAAATGGCTCAGGATTCAAATTAGGATTAAATAAAAAGATAGGATTTATTAAAAGATTATAAAGGAATAGAGGTAAGCAAACAGCGCTGGGTGCACCGGGAGTCTCCGCTCCACCAGGACGCACACCAGTTACATCAAGCAGCTGATTTTTATGCACCTAGACTAATACATATTCATTACTACTTCTAAAAAAAATAGATTATTATAATTAGCTTCCGGGGTCCAGTTCCTCCTACTGGAGCATGCGCATCAGTCTCCTCTGGGGGTCTCTAGGGGTCTTTCATGCTGAAGGCTCATAGTCTTCCTCTCACCCTTTGTACTTACTCGGCACTATTCCAAGTTTATGGAACACTCTCTGTACACTCTCCACAGGTCTTGTCTCCCAACCGTCCTTCAGCTTCTTTTTTCTTCCTCTTAATCTCTTGGCCCCCCCTGGCCAGATACCAAGGATCCTCATAGTATCCCATAACAGTCACTAGTTGTTATCAGTTGTTCTGAAACTCCCAGACATCAAACACAAACAGCTTCTTATTTGACGCTTCACGAGTAATTAAAACATTCTTCCCCAGCCATTCACAGACACATCTATAGCAGTGTTAAGTTAATCTCGAAGAAGACAGGAAAAAAAAGGCTGTAACTGTTAGAAATAGAAGTCCGGAATAACAAAAGCAAACAGGTTCATAAATTTAGGGAGTGTTTTCTGAAGACGTGATAAATTGACTGGAATGAGGGGGAGACTGGGATACACTGCATCTGTGGTTCAAGAATTAAATTGCCAGTGCAGGGCCCAGAGGCAGACAGGATTCAAACAGAATTGTTCTTTATGGACACGAATTTATGGACACGAATTGGAATTGTTAAAACATTCCTCACAATCCCTTATCTTCTTTTTAATATCCCCAATTCGTGTCTCTTCTGTTATTAATAATTGGATTTCATCAGTTTGTTCTTGGAGGGTCCAATTCTTAAGCATCATAATTGACATATTCCCTTCCTTTTTTAACGAAGTTATTACCAATGTACTGTTTATCACCCGGTGTATTAATAATGTAAGACAAGGTATCATACAAGGTATAAACAATAACATCTTTACACCACATAACAATAAAAATAACACTCTTTTAACCCATGGTCCACCAGGCAGCCATGAAAATAAATCCCATTCCATATCCTTCCAGGTTTGTGTTTGCTCGCTCACCTCCCCCCCTCTCCTTCTCTGGGATGGGAGAGAGAAATGGGAAAGTGAAGCCTGTGAGTTGAGATAACAAGAAAATAATAATAATAATAATAACAATAATAATGATGATAATATTACTACTAGTAATAATGTATACGAAACAAGTGATGCACAATGCAATTGCTCACCACCTGCTGTCCGATGCCCAACCCAACCCCGAGCAGTCCGGCCCTCCTCCCAGCCTGCCTGCTGGCAGGACAGTGAGAAGCTGAATTTGGCTTGGTCCTTGGCTTGGTGTAAACACTGCTCTGTAACAATTAAAAACAATTAAAACATCAGCATATTATTAACATTCTTCTCATCCTAAACCAGAACATAACATTCTATCAGCTACTAGGAAGAAACACCCTTTTTATCAATCTTTAAACAGCAATTACTAAAGCTAAATTTTCCACAGACTTCTCCTTCTTGTGCTAGTAAATAAACCAAAGCTAGGCAATTTTGATACAAAGCAGTTCTCATCATTTATAACTATTTCTATTACAGCTAATAACCTAATTATTCTATTAAGTATATATACTGGGGTCCTATAGTCCCAGGATCTGTCTTCTGCCCACGTATCTGGATCATAATAGGCAAACACCTTCAGGGTTGATTCAGGCTTGTGTTACCGTTCGGCCTGTCAGGGTGATCCAGCTCCTGGAAAACGAATCACAATTTTATATAGGTTAAAAAAAAGGTTCTTATGTTATTTTCTCAGGACAACCTGACCTTAGTGTGGGAGAAGTCCAGTCGAGGCCCTCTCACTCGGCAGTCAATACCCATAGGGGTTGCCTCCCTCGGTAGACCATACACACCGCAGTGGAGGGTCCTGCCCCGGTCTTGCCTTCTCCCTTTCCTCCCTTCAGGCTTGTCCCCTTTATTTGGCATCCTTAATTCATGCAGAGCCTTGTTGCCAGAATATTAGTTCTTCCTTAGCATGAGTTTCAGTTTCCCAGGAGCGGACTCAACCCTCCAAGTTCCAGTAGTTACTGGTCCTTTTATTCTGGATGCATGGGTCCCTTTCTGCGGTTCTCAGAGCTGTTTCAGTAGTCAGTAAAACAAGGTACAGTCCCTCACATCGAGGGTTCAGTGATTCTTCCCTCCCGTGGCTGCTTGTTGAAACACTTTCTTTTTTATCTTCTGACAAGTTAAATAACGGTTATCTAATTTGCTTTGCCGTATGGCCCTTTCCAGGTTCCTGTAGCAGGATTCATCTGATAGCCTTTCAGGTTGATACAGATTTGACTACAGATACCAGGGTTTTGGCATTCATCACTAACTCCACAGTTTCCCAGCTGGACAGTCACATTCATTTATGTTGCATTCCTTCAGGGGCTCATCACCCCAGTCCTTGCAGTCTCTCTGCTGGTTACACA